GCTGCCCCGTCCTGAGCCCGAGGTGGCCAGCTCACACAGGACACAGGTCCACACAGGCCGTCCCTGTGGCTCTGCTGCTCGGACAGGCCATCCTCTCCCTGCTGGAGCTGGACTGCCAGGAGAGCCTTCACAGCCCTTCCACCTCAGAGCGGGGACGGTGGCCAAGGGACAGTTACAAAGACCAATATGWCAGGAATTCCTCCTCAACTGAAGACAATGGTCCAGAGCACCCCAAGTAAACGAAGCTCAAACAGAAACCATGATTCAAGGTATGGTGAGAGGTGGGCCTTGGTTTAGAGTCTGTCGTGGTGAATCAACAATCACAAACGTGGGGTAGTTTAGCCACCGGCCGTTTAACRAAAGGTAAGCCGCACACACTCCACCGCTCGGGCCCCCAGGTGAATGGAGAGCAGACCCAAGCTGGCAGTGGGCTGCGCTGTCCTGTGTTCCTGGCCAGTGTAATTAACCAGTTGCACAGACCGTGATGCGCCATCTTTGGTTTCACATCTGGCTTACCTGACGTTCACGGTGGTCCATCAAGGGCGTCATTGCTATAAAACGTTTATTTTACTTTTACTTTTCCAAGAGCTCTTCCTCACCCTTTGAACCGAATTGTTCTGCTCTGAAGGCACCCTYGGAGCTCCTTTGTTGACTATCATGTACCTTATTATTTACCCCAATTTTGACTTGAGCTGTTCTCCAACGTAACACTGACCATTTCCATCAACTCCTGCAGCTTTTCCAAGACTCAACRCTTCCCCTCCTCATCTACTGTACCACAATGTGGGAAATCTGGCGATCAGGAAGAGGGCTTGTCAACAGCATGGACGTGAGGGGCTGAACACAGCTCGCCTGGCATGTACAGAGCACTGCAAAAAACCCAAAAATGTGCGTTCACCTGACACCCAGGGACAGCAAGTTGCTAGCATTAAACAGGAATAGTCTTTAAAAGGTCGGTTCATTGGCAAATATGGCCAACGCTGCCTGACTGCCACAATCTCACTCCCAGCTCTATAAAACAGGATTCACGTCATAAATCCTCGGAGGGCTTCCAACCCCAGCCCCAAGCCCAGTGCCTGATTCACAGTTGGCCTCCAGGAAATACCCGCTGAATAAATGAACTGCAAATCATGGTAAAGGGCATACAAGAATAAACAAATCATCGCCATGGTTACCAGCACCCCRTAGAGCAGATYCTGCTCAGAGGTATGAGAAGTCTAAGAATAATCAGTCAGGAATAGAGGGCAAAGACAGAAGTTAGACTGAAAGGGAGACACCAGGTGGGTCTCCCAGCCCTGAGAGGAGCTGGAACTGGGCACCTGGACAAGGCCCCAGTCCTTTATCTAAGGAAGCACATCAGCTTTCACTGTGGCGGGGACCTGGTGGTGGCAGGTGACGCCCCTCTCGGCGGCGGTGTTTGATCCTGGGGCTGTGAGCTGAGGCAGGRCCTGCGTGACCTGGGCTTTCTCCAACCAGGAATCTCACCCTGGAGTGCTCAATGCACGTAGGTAGATGTCACAGCTCGTTGATGTTTACAACTCATACATGTCAATAATCACAACAGAAAAGAAAACCAAAGAGCACTAGGAGATGGTATGCAGAGGAGGCAGGACACGAGGAGGGACTGCCAGCAGCCAGAGGGGAGGGCCCTTGCGGAGGGGAGTGGTGTGGGGCAGGGCATCAGGGTCAGGGGTCAGGCAGAGCCCTCACAGTGGGCAAGGCCAGCATAGCCAGAGGAGGAGAAAGGTCAGGTGCCAGTCTGGGGGTCCCCAAGGACACTGGTCCCCAGGCTGGCAGCAGAGCCCAGCATGCGCTCCTGGGGACCCCGCAGGGGGAAGGTGAGCCGAGTGCCAGGGACAGACCCAGCCAGAGCCGGAGAGTCTCCAGTCTGTGATGGGACTCACCCAAATTAGAGTCCTCAAAATGTCAACGCTCTGAGTCTCCTCAARCCACGGTCAAAAACAAACAGGCCACAGGCCAGAGAGATCACATGCTGACGAAGGGCAGAATGGGCAAAGAACTCTCCATTCAAAAATAAAAGAGGGCCCCAGAAAAACTGGGAAAAGACGTGACCAGACATTTCACAAGGGAAGCTATGCAAATACCAGAGAAGCACAGGAATAGAGGCCCAATGCCATTAGCTAAAACGGACGCTTGGGGACAGTTAATGTGAACATGCTTTGTGGGTTATGTGGATTAGGAAGATTCTATCAAATCACACTGACATGGAATCTCTTGGTTTGTTAACTCTAGTTTGATGGTATTCTTGTTGTCATAAGACACGCACTGAAATACTTAGGCAATGATTGCAAAAAATAGTCTATCTGTAACACACACACAGTACATTCTCTCTGCACACTCCTCTCTCTTCCAGAGAAAATAAAACAAATGGAAATTGACCAAATTACATTACATGCATGTACAAATATGTCACAATGAATCCCACTATTATGTCTTATTATAATGCACCAATAAAAATTATTAAATAAAAATGAAAATGAACTTACAAAATAAAGCAAACAGGGCCTGATGCAGATAATTTCTATCTGGGTAAGGAGTATATATAGGAGTTTCTCTTACTATTTTTGTAACTTATAAATTTAAAATTACATAAATTACCAAATATTGAAAAAAAAAAACACTGAAAAACTGTAATGATGTTTTCTAGGATTAATCTGGCAAAAGGACCAGAAGCCAAGATGAAGAAGCCACCTCTGGCCAAGAGGTGTCCTTCTGGGCACAGCTAGTCCTGGCCTGATACCTTGAGGCCAAGTCCACACTGACATCTCAGAGAGATGTCCCAGGGCAATCTGGTCACCATCTGAAGCCCGCYACCTAGCACCTATCTAAGACGCTGGTGCTTCACGGGAGAGAAGTGCTCTTCTGTGCTGCACAGCCTAATAAATCCAGAAGCAATGGCAGGTTAGGAAAATCTTATTTCTCCAACATGACTGCAGGGCCTGAACTTGGGCCCCAGTGATCACCAGGATCACCTGCTCACCACAGGTCGACCACACAAGCACACCTTCATGACTCCGTGGGTTCAGTTCCAGACCAAAACAAAGAGATCACAGTCAAGCACGTCACCTTGATATCCTTGGTTTTCCAGTGCATATAAAAGTTGTGGTTTTCCTTCCATCAAATAAGCAAGTGTACAATAGCATGGTCCAAAAAATCTGTAGACTCTTATTATTAAAGATTCTTTATTCCTAAAGCACACTAATAGTCACCTGAGCCTTTCGGGAGTCACATCGTCCTGCTGRTAGAGGGTCTTGCCTCAGTGTTGATGGTGCCCGACTGACGCGGGGGCCAGCTGCAGAAAGCTGGATGGCCTGGAAGTTTCTCAGAACAAGAAGCGGTGAGGTCCACTGCATGCATGGGCTCTTCCTTTCAGGACAGGTTTCCTGTAGCATGGGAGGCTGGGGACTGCACCGTGCACACACTAGGACATTGGGAATCTGCTCTTCCAACCCGCGGGTGCACTATTCTAAATCCTCAACCACATCACCTYGATCACAGCATCCTCCCAGAAGTCGGTGCCATCTCAAGACCATGCTCTTTGCCCATTCACAAGAAGTGACTCCTCACCTGTGGAAGTGTCACTGTGAGGTGCAGCCATCCAGCCACGTCCCCAGGCTCCACTTCTCCRTCTGGGCCTCTTGCCGCGTGCATCGCCTGCACAGTTCCTTCTCCACCGCCTTCCTGAGCCCCCCAAAGTCCCCGTGAGGGTCGGGATGAACTTCTTCCCGTTAGTGTAGGGATCTTGTCCCCCTCCCCTGACCATGAATGTTCTTACCGGCATCCGGAACGGAACCTTCCAGGTTTTCAACTGCCCGGATCAGAGGAGGCATCACCAAGGGTACTCACAGCCCCACAGAACACGCTTCTTAAACAAGAAGACGAGAAGTCAGAATGACCCCCAGTCCCCGGTGCAGAGGGGTGCTGGGCCAGCAGGCCTAGACACAACACGGGCCCCGTGTCCCTCTCCACCAGAGCTCTTGGGGACGAGGTGTTTGGCCAATGAGCAGTGATATTTGAAAGAATCTTTTTTTCTGAGCAGCAGGTCTCAATGGTGGACTTAAAATGTTGACCGTGTTGGAAAAGAGAGGCCTGGCCTGTGGCTCCACTCGCAGAGCATGAGCTGGTGGATCCAGTGCTGTCCCAAGGGCCCTCCATTACAGGTGGTCAGTAAGCACTCGACTTACAGTCACCCGCTACAGTAGCCCCTGAGGAGAGTCAGCCTGTCCTTGGAAGCTTAGAAGCCAGACCCAGACCCCCTCTCAGCAGCCTCTTCCAACGCCGGCCTGTCCACACTGAGAGTCATCATTCAGTGCGGCAGATGGACGCATCTGTGCCATGTCACCATGCACCCACTATTTCCTAACCCTCTAGGCTGCCTCCAGGGGTGACCTGCTTCCAGCTTCTTCTGCTGAGTCTTCTCAGAACCCGAGAGAGCTGGGCCTGGCTCTGKATCAGCTTTAGGTACTGTCGTCGATCCAGACAGCTGGCCTCCAGGAGGGCAAGTGGCCTGTTTGGCTTCCGCTCCACCTGCATGTGCCCTGGGCTGGCACTGTCATCTCCTGCATTCACAACTGGCTCACTGCTGCAGCAAGCTGCCTTGGGACCTGCTGGCTTGGGACAGGTCTCCCTCACCAGGCTCCATCAACTCCAGCTTTGATGTAAGCTGCTAGTCTTCCTTTCACTTGAACACCCGGACAAGGACATTGCAAGGTCATTTACTGGCCTTGTTTCAATACTGTTGTGTCCCAGGGACTAGGGAGGCCTGAGGAGGGGAGGRGGTAAGCATGGCAGTAGGTGGGGTCAGAGCCCACACCACACTTCTCTATGGCTGACCTTCCTTCGACCTTCCTTCCCTATGGGGGCAGTTGGTGGAACCATGGGGCCAAGCTGGAGGAAACAGTTCAAAGAATTGCAGCAGAGACTGCTTCAGAAACRAAAGATGACGGAAAGATTTATTTCAATTGCAAACCAACTTAACAAATGACTAAATAAGAAAGATTGGCCCTAACTGCCCACCCCGCCACCTGCTGCAATCTGGACCTTCCMCCGCTGGATCTCAGTCCTGCAGATCCGATTGTCTGCCTTCTTCTTCTTCAAAGCTCACATTTCCTGAGAAGAAAAGGGAAATCGGAGTATATGGAAACAACCACCTGACACAATAAAAGCCACGTCCATGTCTCCAAGGGGCCCGAGCCAGGGCAGCCCTGCTGGGAGAGCAGGAGTGAGCGCTGCATCCAGGACGGGCAGCCCTGCTGGGATCAGAGGCAACGGGAGCAGCCTTCTGTAGGAGGGCCCCCTGAGCTCACAGTGGGCCTTCTGCAGGCCCCTCCAGGCCCCTGTGCCTGGCCCAAGGACCCCATGGTGGGAGGAGGGTGAGCCCCACGCTC